TATTTTTTTTTATTAATTTATAGTTCAAATTTGAACAAAATAATATATTTTAATAACGTTAATCATTTTGTTAAAATTCAAAAATATTATTTATGAGGACTTAATACTTTTATACGAGTAAATATTATTGATTCTATTAAAGGAAATAATATTTCAAAAGATGTAGATTAATTTATAAATAATACTTATTTATAAAAACTATTTAGGGAAGCTCTAATATTATTTTTATTATTTTATGAGTAAATACTTCCAATAATATAACACAGATTAATAAATTATATATTATTATATTAATTAAATATTACTAATATTTATAAATGCATTGTTTTTTTCAAACATTAAATCACCCTATCGTTATACTAGGTATATCATAAATTTCTTTAATAGCAATATCAAAAAAACATATTATGACATTTATTTAGTGATATAGGCTGACAGACACCACTCTGAATCATTTTTCATACACAATGATATATATCATTGAATTTAAATAAACATATGAATTAACAGAACCCGTTCAACTGATATTATATTACAGAGCGATACCCAATTGCTTTTACTTATAAAATAGAATATTTATTTGAAAATTTTTCAAAACAATATCTAATTTTGAAAAAAATTGATTGCACATACATATTAAACACGCATAACCTTTCTCAAAATGTTAGATTTGTTATTACTTATTTTTCTCTTTATTAAAATAATTATTTTTTGTTAGTTATAGATTTTCAAAAATTGTTCATATTCAATTTGAAGTCCAAAAAAATATTGAATTATAACAAAAGTTACCTATTTGGTAGCAATAAATTTAAAAACATAAGCGATTGTTTATAAATTCAAAAATATAAGTTAGGACTACAATGGAAAGTTGACAAGTTCTTGTTTAAAAATATATATTACATTTTTATTAAAACCAATTTAAAACATAATTCTCAACTAATAGGCATACAAAAACAAATTAAAAATGTATTAATAAAAGATATATAATTTTTTTTTTTTTGATTCTTTATTTTTTATTGAATATAAAATATTTTTTTATCTATATTTTGATAATATTGTGTTTATTTTTTGAAATTGCCAATTATTTCTCATGAAACATATTGTATACACTATAAACAAAAATCATTAACCACCAGCATTTCACCTATCCACATTCATTTTAAATTTTTTAAACGTTTATCGTTATAAATGTACAGTTTTTTAATCGTATGATTGTACAAAAAATTATGTTTATTTTTTTTTTCCATTAAGCATTAAATAATAACTTAACAAAAAAGTAAAATAAAATATGAATACCTCTATTCTGTTTTGTATTTATTTTTATTTGTATACTTCAAAATTTAAAACAAATTTATGCATAAACAAAGTTGCTTTAATTTATATCAAACATTCCATTTAATATAATATACTTTTTAATTTTTTACACAAAGTATAAAATTAAGGTCGGGTTTGGTGGAACATTTTATTTGAATAGTATTTTGCTCTTTTTATTTTTTCAGTGTAGTATAAAGTTGTATATAGTAAAATAATAGTTATTCAATTTTTTAAACATATATTTGATTAACAAAGTTTGATTAGGTCAATTTTTTTTGGTAACTATATTATTGTTATCATAATTAATTCAAGTACCAAAGTATAATATTAAGTAATGGAAATTTAAATTAATCGATCAAAATTAGATGTTATAAATTATGAAATTACTCAAAATTGTAAAGAATGTATAACAATTTTTTTAACCTATCCTAACATAAGCTATTGCGATATTTGATAAAATCAAATTTTTTCTTGTATTACACTCACTTTATAAACTATACATATATTTTTATATTATGTTCACATACGTATGATATCCAAAATTGTTCAAGTCAAATTAAAGGATATTATTTATGGTATACTCGTTCTAAAACCATAAAGGTTTTATGTTATGTGTAAAAGAAAGTAAACAAAATTATGAAGTATTAAATTTGTGTAAGAAAAAATATTTATTATAATTAAATTGCATTTACGATATACCTTATTTTATCAATAAAAAAAAAAAAAATCCTATCGTAGGATACTTGGTCAAGTGGATTGTAAATAGTAGTCACAATGTGCAAATAAATAAACAAAAGCGAATTTCGTTTGCCGTAATCAACGGTCAATGGATTACTATTGAAATACACGTATGAAAGTAAAGGGATACACAATAACGCTGGCCAGCAAAGGCCAATAATAAATTATAATGAACAAATAATACACGATGAAATATCAATAAACAAATACAAAGGAAAACAATAAATTTATATAAAAATCGTGTTAGCGATGATAGTGTGGTTGACAGTGTCGATTTCGATGACTTCGGTGCGGTTATTGACGGTAGTCGGTATTGGTGGTAGATAGTATTGACAATAGACGGTATTTACGGTAGACGATATTGCATTTATTCAAACTTAATTGAATGGCGAGCACCATCAACGGTCCTAGCATTGTTGTAACTAATTATTATCACGATCTTTCGGTAGCGGTGGTTTTTGTTTCAACGTCAGTTTATCATCTAACGATATGCTGAACCAGTACTATATTAAAAACTTAACAACGTGAACGTACTTGTTTTTTTTTTTTATTTTTTTAATATGTTTGCTGTTATTGAAGTGTTACATTAATTTATTCCAAGAAATGATTTTCTTTTTACACTTAAATGCATTAGATATTGCTCTCACATAAAGTAAATTTACAAACAATGTTCTTATGGTTACCAAGAATTAAAATATTGGTTAATCCAATATTATTATACGCAAGAAAATGTTATCGATTATAAACTATTAAACGAAATGAAATATGAATAACTTAAAACAGAACATAATTTTTTTCAATAACCAAACATGATTATATTTTAATTAATCGATTGTTGCACGCATATACGGACACGTCCACAGATGCATTATTGCATAAGTAAAGTCGTAAGTTAACAAATATAACTAATTTTTGTACTAAAATTAACAAATTAATTTCAGTTTATCTTCCACGGTTTTATTGTTCTGAAATACTTACGAGTATTATACGGTATCCGACGCAAATAAAATATTATGCCAATATTAAGTTTAAAACCATTTGTGAATGATTGGAATTCACGTTTAAAATGCATCCACTTATTTTCATCGAAAACCTGCAATCGTTTGGAAATAATTGCGATAGGGTTTCCAAATGTTTGTTGTAATGGCGTAGTTCGGCCCTGATTTAACTGCGTCATTGAAACTCTGTTTACGCAAAACTCTGTCGCGCAAATATTCAGAATATTGTCACTTCTCACAATCTGTCGTGAAGTTTGTGTTCAATCACTGGTAATGAATCGGTGCCGTACAAATAAGTGACGCGAATACGGCTAATAAATTCGAATTACGCTCGAAACTCTGAAGTTAACAATATGCATTACAATAATACGCGTGTAGAATTTATACGCACACGTTATTATGTGTGCTATCAAATCGAACAACCAACGCGTACCTTTTTCGATTTAAGTAACAAAAGATGTACAATACGTACATCGAATTTCATTTTTCCTTCGTAAAATTAGCCTCGTGAAAATGCTTCAATGAATAAAAAATTACTCCGGTAAAAATTAAATAAAAAATTCCTTGTAGCTATAAAACCTCATGATATTATATAATATGGAGAAATATTGGGTTCTAATGCACAATATTAGATTTACTTTTTATCTCATAAAAAATTGTTGGCTTATATATTATAGAGTGTTATCAAGTTTACTACCTACCTGTTTATTAAAATTATCAATCAGAAGTCGATCGTCATTATCAGTTGTTTACTGCAAAATATAATGTATTTAATTTTTGAGTATGAAATCATGATATTAATATGATGCGCCCTTAACTGGAAAACTATTACCAAGTCCTTGATGACCCTGTACAATTTTAAGTATAATAATATTATACTTAAACATTCCAATTACTGTGCGTTTGATGAACGAAAGGCGATCTGAAAATAAGAAAGTTTTCTTTTTCACCGTTGGTATAATATTTCGTGAACATAAATTTAGTATGTTCTACTTATTCTGAACTTAAAAGTTCCTATTTTTTTTGTTTTTTCATTTTTTACACAATATGGTAATAGGGATGCGGTATATAAATGGTTTGCTTCATTTACCACGTTTTTCCATATTTATCATTGCCAAAAAAAAGAATCGCCCCTCGTTCGACGACACTTAGCCGTTTAAATTTAATCATGAACCTCTTGACTATAATTCAACCACGATGTTCGGTATATGGTATATATTATATATATTTTTTTTTAATCCCAAAACGTCTAAGTAAAAACAACGTGAAAAAAACGGCTTCTGCCGTCATCTCCAGTGACCTGCCAGCTGTGTCATCGTTGTCGTGACTGGTGGGTACGTCGGCTGATGGTGATCACTGCATAATATTACAGTGGAGAAGGAGATACCTTAATAGGAATAAGATACTCGTTTCGTGGCTAATTTGTCCATCTCAATACCCAAATATTTACGAATTGTTTCTACAACGCAACGCCCTTTAACGAGTTCTTTTTTACAAATTCCTGTGTAGGCAGGTCCACGTGATGACAACAGGATAGACAACGACAAAACGACAAAACTGATGATACATCACGGGGTCCTAAGGTGGTTGTTTTAGTTTTTCGCGAGAGGGAAGTGGAGTAATACATTTTAAAATTCCTAAAGCGTATGTAATACGTCATACAACTGCTCCTAATTCGATCCATGCAACGCACCCATTGCATATACCACCGCTAATCTAAAAAGAAATGTCTAGGATCGAAGTGTGTTCACCGAGATCGTAATAGTAGGGAAAGAGGTTTTTACGTGTACTGGAGGCAAGTGGTTATAGACCGAAGGTACAGTATAATGTATATCCATAGCAAATATACGACGAGAATTGCCGCTGGCGCGTCCGCGAGTGCGCGTCGGTTTTTGCGCTCCCTACACATCGAAGCGCACACGCCCGAATGGCCGTTCAGTTTGACTTAGACCCACCGCAACCCATGACACGCCGCCCGTCTCCGATCGGTCCGCTATCACGTGCTCGTCGAAGTTGTATCGGATAGGAGCAAAAAAATAAAAACGAAATTTTCAATATTTTATTTTAAGTCCCAAAATTATCGTGACACACAACCAACGTTATGAACGTGTTAATACGTCAATTATAGCCGTATCGCAGAGTCCGGGATAAACAATTAATAAAACGTATGTTATTCGAAACTTAGTGATTTTATTTAATCGCTAAACGAACGAGTGAATAACGATTATCGTTGTGTGCTGGTCGAAAGGTATATTATATTATTATTATTATGCTTGTATTAAAAGAAAAACACATCAGTGTAACAATAAAACGATTTTCAACAAAACGCTTGGCGTAGATTTTATATTTCTACTACCGTTGAATAACACTATAATTAAACTACAACGTCCAATAGTCGTATAAGATCGAGTATAGCATTTAGAATTTCTCTGAAAAACATTTTCACTTTTAAATAAATTGAGTTCAAGGAGTCAAATTAGATGTTATTACATGTGTATGGGTGTGTATGTTATTTATTGGAAACTATTGTTGTTTTTTGAGCAACTAGTTTATTTTAATTTATAATTATAAAACCATTTATATTTTAAAAATTTATAGATAAAATTTCTTTTGAAATACATATTTCATAATATGATAAGAAATGTATGCGTAATATTATAATTAGTAAAATTTCAATATTTATACACTTATACATTAAAAAAAAACTAGTAATAACTTGTTTATGAATTTTTTTTTAATACTATTTGCTTGTCTTATATTAATCTATTAAAAATTAATTTGTCAATTAACAGTACATTTTTTAAGTATTAGCTAATAATATTTAAAAACAAAAATACATAATATCACCGGTACTGTGTGTCTGTTTGGACGTTTCCAATATTCTATCTAATGACATTATAAAATTACATAATTTCATAATGTATACTTGTTTGATATTCTTGGTATTCATTATATTATAAAGTTTCTTAGAATCCACCTAAAAGCAATCACATTTTTGAATTGATAACCGTATATTATGTAGTTGAACATTTGTGTCTATTATAATTTATTCTGTTTAAGTTTACAATATTGTTCTCGCGCGTTGTAGACATAAGTAGTACCCACAAGACCACAGATTGAATAGTCTAACAATGAAATGATACGTATCACGATCACTGCTGTATGGACAACAAACCATCAATATTCTTAGATTCTACATCTTCTCCAATAACATGGCCTAAAAACCCACAAACCTTTGTTTTGTCGACCATAATTGCGTTTGGTTTTTTTCCGGACACAAGGTTCACTATATTCTTCTTACGAATCGTAACTGTCCGAGTCGAGTGATAATAATATTGCTTTGCACATCTAATATCAAGTAATTTCCTCTGTGTATTTTGTTTACCTCTGAACAATAGAACTCGTCTGTTTTTACTAAACAATGTTGTCCACCAATTGATTTTTATTTATCAAAATAACAAATGCAATTAAAGTGAAATAAAAACATTAAATACCATGCTTTTACAGATTAAACATTTTTTTAATCGTAACAGAACAATTATTTATAAAAAATACTTATAAAAAAAATATGAACAAGTACAGAATGATAGTGTTTATCATAGTGTATTATAGTCGACAAATTTTAGAAGACACAAAAAATAAATAAATATTGTTCTTATTATTTTATCATAATATATGTTCATGTCTACATTACAATTTATTACATACATTCTATCATCCAAAAATCGATAAAGAAAACGTGGTTTTGTAAAATATATTCAACCTTAATGCGTCTTTCGTCCAAAATAATAATAGAAAAATCGAAGGTCGAACCTTTTGATTTATATTTTACTATGTAACATTGCACAGGTACAAACATATACACTCAACATTTTCACACTAACACGATTTATTGTAAACCAATACAATTACTGTTACACGCTCGCTTGTCCTTTGTTCTACATAATTTTACTAAAAATAAATAAACATTATCTTTTAATGCATATAGTATGTTAATTAAGCATAATAATTAATTACACCACGCCAATAATAACAGTTTAAATCTGTCAGTCATTCTACTCATTTAGTCAACACATCTATTTAGTTTTAGTGTCTATTTTTCCTTAAAGTTAATAAATTTTACAATTTTTATAACGATTTATATTGGTATAAATTATAATTAATAATGGTTCATAATAAAACAAATTGTCTTAAAAAATAACATTTTTATTGAATAACAGTATGAAAAGAAAAATAACATAAAATATAAAATAATGACACATAATATTATCGTATAAATATCATTTAAGCAATACACCTTTATAGACGAAAAATTAAATTAAATTCATCTGAAACTTACACACGGTGTTTTTTATGAATTTATTACATCCAGACACACGTATAATAATTCAATGATGATCCCATAATGTTTCAGAATTTTGGGAATGTTCGATATCGAAGCAATTTGTAGAATTATTGGTATCGGAATTTCTTTGATAAAATTTCATCAAGAGCTGCTTTTACTTTATAATATGTACACAATACTATGCATAACATAATATAATATTCAGTGATCATATTAAAGTATTCAACTTTATTAATACGTTTGCTTTCTTCTTTTTCCTTATCTTACAATATTTAACTACTTGGAATCTTACCACTTTTATATACATTTTTTCTCCTTTTTCCATTGTCAATCTACACATCCACAATTTCTTTATAAATTTATTTTTGAAACCACCTCTACTTTGGCTTTTGACACGTTGGAACCAAGTACTCATTGTGTTTTTTTTTAAACTGTTCTCTCTTTTTAAAATGTCCAAATCATATAAATGTACACTGATTAATTTTTAGAATAGAATAGAATAGAAGATTTCATTTTTTATTAACTTAGAAACTAATCATCATTCTGATCATATTTCTAAAATACAAAATGTTCACAGAGCATTACTTTTGAGCGATGAACAATTCAACAGAAATTATTTAATTTTAAAATATAGAAACAAACTTTATATTTCATATTTTTAAATTATTTTTAAATATGTTGTGAGTTTTAAAAATACCTATTTATTTTTTACACGGCAAACCCGTTAGGTTTAAAGTATTATACCGTCAAAGCTCATTTATATAACTTACTTACTTATTTATTTTATTAAATGATAAAACAGAGTTTACAATATTTTCATAATATTTTAAACGATTATTATGCAAATAATAATTATCTGCCCTTAAATATAAGTAAATAAGAATGATTTTTAATTATTACACATACTACTTATATTTTTATTAAGTTTGATTACCGAAGAGAAATTGAAAAGTTGTCTTGTTCTGTTGTACTTCGTTTCGGTTACGTATTGCTATGTACAATTTTTATGCAATATAGAAATTAATTTTGTACACTAAAGCTATTCAATGGTTCTTTATTATCAGTTTCATGGTAATAAAAACAATACATTTTATAGTAAAAGAAATTGTTTTAACTCAAAATATGATAATAAATATAAAGCAGGTATATATATATATATACCTGCTATTTTTATATTTTTTATACCTGCTATATTTATCTTATCATTACAGAGTTAAATATTATATACCATTGTATTATCTCATAAATCATTCGATAATCTTAATAATACAAAATTAATTCTATTACATAAGTAATTATCTAAAAATTTGTTGTATAGGCACAAGGCATTCGAGTAAAATAATAATCCATAACAATAAACGAAATAAGCTTAAAACGCTTTAAAAAAATATATTAGCTGTGAGCTAAAGGTGAAATATTTTTGTTTTGAAAGTGTCAAATTTTAGTACAAGACAACTTTTCAATTTCTCTTCGGTAATCAAACTTAATAAAAA